ATTAAACTAGCCAGTAATATAAAGGGAAAAAACAAAGCATTTTACAAATACATGGGAAGGCAGAGGAAAACTAGGACAGCCTAGGCCCATTACTAAATGGAGGGAAAGACAATAAGAGAAAACGCAGCAATGGCCGAACTGTTAAATGCCTCTTTTGTTTCAGTTTTCACCAAAAAAGTTAGCAGTGACCAGCTGACTAACATAGTCAACATCAGTGTCAATGGGGTAGGATCTGCACCTAAAATAGGAAAGGAAAATAGTTATGAATTTCTTAGACAAGTTAGAGGTCTTCAAGTTGGCAGGGACTGATGAAATACATCCTGGAATACTTAAGGAACTGGATGAAGAGATCTCTGAGCCATTAGGGATTATCTCTAAGAATGTGTGGAGGATGGTTGAGAGATCTGAGGATGGGAAAAGGGCAAATATAGTACCTACGTATAGAAACGGGATAAGGACAACTCAGGGAGTTATAGACCAGTCATAACTTCAGTACCTGGAAAGATAAGGGAGCAAGTAACCAAACATTCTATTTGTGAGCACCTAGAAGGACAAAGTAATACCTAACAGTCAGCATGGATTTGTCAGTAACAAATTATGTCAAACCAACCTAATATCCTTCTTTGACAGGTGACAAGCTTTGGACTGGATGGACGCAGTAGATGTCACATCTCAAATTTAGTGAGGCTTTTGATACTGTCTTACATGACCTTCCCATAAACAAACCAGAGAAATATAGCCGAGGCAAAGCTACTGTAAGGTGGATTCCCAACTGCTTGGAAAACTGCACTGAGAGAGTGGTTCTTATTGTTCTCTAATGAGCTGAAAGGGTATCTTGAGTGGGATCCCAAAGGGATCTGTCCTGGGTCCAGTTCTATTCCGTATCTTCATTAATGATTTAGACAATGGCATGGAGAGTGCACTCATAAAGTTTATGGATGATTCAAAGCTGGGGAGGGGTTGCAAGCCCTTTAGAGGACAGGACTAGAATTTAAAATGATCTTGACAAAATGGAGAAATGGTCGGAATTGAAATGATTGCCTAGGAAGGAGTACTGCAGAAAACCATCAGAGGTTATAGTGGATCACAAACTAAGCGAGTCAACAAAGTGAATCCTCAACTGGAATACTGTGTCCAGTTCTGGGCCCCACACTTCAGAAACGATGTGGATAAGCTGGAGAGGATCAGAAGAGAGCAACAAGAATTATTAAAGGTCTAGAAAACATAACTTATGAGGTAAGATTGAAAAAAAATTGGGTTTGTTTAGTTTGGAGAAGGGAAGACGGGTGAGGGTGGGGGGGCAGAAAGGGTGTGATAACAGTCTTCAAGAACGTAAAAGGTTGTTACAAAGAGGAGGGTGATAAATTGTTGTTCTTATCCACTGTGGCCAGGACAAGAAGTAATGGGCTTAAATTGCAACAAGGGAGATTTAGGTTGGAGATTAGGAAAAACTTCCAAACTATAAGGGTAGTTAAGCACTGGAACAAATTACCTGGAGAGGTTGTGAAATCTCCATCATGGGAAGTTTTTAAGACCATGTCAGGCATGGACTCGATAATACTTAGTCCTGCTTCAATGCAGGGGACTGATTGGACTAGATGACTTACTGAGGTACCTTCTAATTCTATGTTTCTAAGATTTCCAGGATTCAGATATCAAGGCCAGACAGGTTCATTGTGCCCATCCAGCCTGGCTTCCTGCCTATCCCAGCCAAAGAATCTCTCCCCCCCCGTGATTCCTACCTCCTGGCTCAAAAAGAACAAAGCTTTAAGAAAGTCACACCGCATTTCCACTGACAGACTTCCAGTGAGGAGCTCTCCCAGTGGTTCATTCCCCTCCCAGATAAACACTGGCCCCTAATTCCCAGTCTCCATTTGTCCCCTTCTGCTCCCAGCCAGTGGATCTCACTTGGCCTTTGCCTTCTACATTAAGGAGCCCTCCACTAGCAGGTATGTAAATCAGAAGGGACTGGGTTGTGATGACTCACCTTGGGAGGGGCTCTCAGGCCCCGAGCTTTCCCTGGAGTCCTCGGCATCCTGGATCCAGAGCTCTGCCTCCCCTACCTCAATTCTGTGGATTAAATCTGGTGTGGAACCTGAATAGCCTGTTTGGGAGAAAAGAATCAGTTTTATTACTGAAGTTTTGGGGACAGGGACTCATTTATATGTTGGTGCAGACCAAAGAATGGCCTTACTGGGTCAGACCAAAGGTCCATCTAGCCCAGTATCCTGGCTTCTGACAGTGGCCAGTGCCAGATGCCCCAGAGGGAATGAACAGAACAGGTAATCATCAAGCAATCCATTTCCTGGATTCACATTCACAGCTTCTGGCAAACAGAGGCGAGGGACACCATCCCTGCCCATCCTGGCTAATAGCCATTGATGGACCTATCCTCCATGAGTGTATCTGCTTCTTTTTTGAACCCTGTTATAGTCTTGGCCTTCACAACAGTCTCTGACAAGGACTTCCACAGGTTGACTGTGCATTGTGTGAAGAAATACTTCCTTTTATTTGTTTTAAACCTGCTGCCTATTCATTTGATTTCGTGACCCCTAGTTCTTGTGTTATGAGAAGTAGTAAACAACACTTCCTTACCTACTTTCTCTACACCAGTCATGATTTTATAGACCTCAGTCTCCCCTTAGCTGTCTCTTTTCCAAGCTGAAAAGTCCCAGTCTTATTAATCTCTGCTCACACGGAAGCCATTTCATACCCCTAATCATTTTTGTTGCCTTTTTCTGATCCTTTTCCAACACTAATATATCTTTTTTGAGATGGGACGACCACATCTGCATATAGTATTGAAGATATGGGCGTCCCATGGATTTATATAGTGGTAAAATTATATTTTCTGTCTTATTATCTATCCCTTTCTTAATGATTCCCAACATTCTGTTTGCTTTTTTGACTGCTGCTGCACATTGAGTGGATGTTTTCAGAGAACTATCCACAATGACTCCAAGTTCTCTTTCTTGAGTGCTAACAGCTAAACAGCACAACAGGACTCCGATCTCAGTCAAGGTGTGTCTGCACAGCACCTGGCATGATGGGGCCCCAATCTCGGATGCTGCTTGAGAGGAAAGCGCAGGAGAATAATGAAATAAACCTTCCCTAGCGGAAATTTCTTCCATCTCCCACTAGCAAGTTCAATTCATACTCTGAAGCAGCAATGTCTATGACCCGTCTCAATTTGCTTTGGGAACTTAGACACGGCAGGTGTCACCGTTACACAGACTTATCAGTTCTTTTGCTTAGGATGCAAGTATTGGTCAACTGCACGGTTGTTAAGTTTATGATGTTTATTCTTTTTGGGGAGGTAGGGAGCTGTTACAAGGAGAAGAAGAGTTTTCTCCCTGCCTTATTTGCTCCTGTGCTGTTTGTAACCAGCCCTGTACCACGACTGAGGTGAGGTAGGTAATGCAAGTAAATAAGTTACACTAAGATTAGCCCCAGGCTCTGTAGCCCTGAGTTCTTCAACAAGAAGCCGAACTGAAAGAGGCTGTCATTTACCACTTCTCAGCCATAGGGTGGCACATGCCAGGGGTGGCATCAAGGGAACCCAGACATTTGACAGCTATGAGTAGAGATAAATCGGTCCTTACCCAAGGAAACAAGGGCCCGGTAATTCCTCAGCATCTGGTCCCGGTACAGCTGCTTCTCTGGCCGGGATAAGAGCTCCCACTCCTCCCGGCTGAAATACAGAGCCACGTCCTCAAACGCCACCCGCAGTTGCTGGCACAAGCGTTACACACTCAGCACCCTCCGCGCCAGCCCCAGCCCGGGCTCTCAGCAGGGGACGCGGGTTCTAGGGCAGCGGCTCCCGGGGAACCCCCAGCCCAGCAGCTGTGACCCAGGGAGACCCCCCCGCACAGCCCCCCAGGGACTCGGGCCCTGCTGGCCGGGGACAGGAGTCGCCCTCGGCTCCCCACGGGGCTCTGGGGCGGGGCGCTGGGAAGGGCCCGAATCCCAGGGCAGGGACCAGGCTCCTCCCCCGGCCGGAGTCCCCGCCTCCGCCCCAGGCCTGTGCTCGGCCCCGCTCCCGCCCCCGGCTCAGCCGCCTCGGGGCTCCTCGGCCCGGCTCCGCGTGTCCGCCCGGCCCGGGGCCCCCAGGGCCGCTCCCCGGCCCCAGCGCTCCGAGTGCGGCAGCCCCCAGCCCCGGGGTCACTAGCGTGGGAGGGACCCGGTCCCGGCCCCCCTTGGCCCCAGCCGGGACCAGCCAGTGCCCGGCCGGGGAGTCCCCGCCCCGCGTCCTACCTGCGCCGGCCCCGCTGCAGCCATCACCGGGCTCGGCTCCGGCCCCGGCCGCTTCCTCCGCCCGGGCAGCGACTTCCTGCCCCACGGCTGGTGTCTCCCTTCCCGGCCGGCCCCGCGCCTGCGCTGCCAGCTCCAGCAGCCGGGCCGGGGGATTTCCCGTTTCTCTTCCCCCTCCTGGATGACTCTGTCCTTGGGTAGTAGTTCATTACACAGCCATATAGAGTCATTTGATTCACTTGCTTGGTCCACCAGCAAGAGGAGAGAACAGTTAGTGAAATAACACAAGAGAGCTCTATGCACCTCCGTACCAGGACTTATTTCCTAAACCTCAGTGACAAGGTCAGTAGGATCACTTCACATGTGACACTCTCTGGGCACCTGCCAGTCACACAGTTCATCAGGCCTCATGGTCAGTTAGGCCTTCGAGAACACTTTGGTTCGTTCACTTTAAAGATTTATACTTCACATTAAGAAAAGGAGGACTTGTGGCACCTTAGAGACTAACCAGTTTATTAGAGCATAAGCTTTCGTGAGCTGCATCCGATGAAGTGAGCTGTAGCTCACGAAAGCTTATGCTCAAATAAATTGGTTAGTCTCTAAGGTGCCAAAAGTACTCCTTTTCTTTTTGCGAATACAGACTAACACGGCTGCTACTCTTAAACATTTCACATTGGCTTTTCCACATGCCAGCTGAATGGATCCGCTTCTTTAATATCCAATATAGTTAGACAGACCTTTGTTAAAGATTTGTTATATATTTCTTATTGATCACGTTTCTATTTAAAATAGACAGCATGAGCAGTTCCCGAGTCTTCTTCCAATCACACGGACCAGGCTGTCCCGCCCTGTCCCTCAGACCAATCCACGCTGAGATGGGACGGCAAATCCCACCTCTGGAGTGTCCTGGCTGGAGCTGATGGTTGTGGGGCAGAGGTGGGCAAACTACGGCCCGCAGGCCACATCCGGCCTGTGGGACCCTCATGCCCAGCCCCTGAGCTCCCGGTCAGGGCGGCTAGCCCCGGCCCCTCCCCTGCTGTCCCTCCTCCCCCGCAGCTTCAGCACGCCGCCTGCGCTCTGGCCCGCCACTCCTGCCGGGAAGCCCGGGGGCATGGCTGCGAGCTCTTACCGCTCTGAGGAGCTTGGTAAGGGGGCAGTCAGGGGACAAGGAGCAGGGAGGCGGAGGTTCGTGGGGGGCGGTCAGGGGACTGGGAACAGGGGAGTGGGGGGGGGGTTGGATAGGTGTGGGAGTCCCGGGGGGGCCTGTCAGGGGCCAGGGGTGTGGATAGGGATTGGGGCACTCAGGGCACAGGGAGTAGTTGGATAGGGGGTTGGGTCCTGGGGGGCGGTTAGAGACGGGGGGCCCCGGGAGGGAGCGGTCAGGGGACAAGGAGCAGGGGGGCGTCTTGAATGGGTCAGGGGTTCTGAGGGGGGTGGGAAGTGGGAGGGGGCAGATAGGGGACATAGGGCCAGGCTGTTTGGGGAGGCAAAGCCTTCCCTACCGGGCCCTCCATACAGTTTCCCAACCCTGATGTGGCCCTCAGGCCAAAAAGTTTGCCCACCCCTGTTGTGGGGGGGAGTTCCTGGCTGGAGGTGTGTGTGTGTGTGTGTAAGAGAGAGAGACAGAGAGAGAAGGGTGGGTCCTGGCTAGATGGCAGGGCAGGGAGCGTCCTGGCTGGATCCCAGCTAGATGGGGTGGGAGGGTCACACTAATGGAGTAGGCCGTGACCAATTGCTCTGAAGGCACAATAAGCTCATGGGCATCTCCATAATCCAGCTGTCAACCCCTTCCCCACAGGGCTCAGCCAAATTCCCTTCCTTGCCCCGACATGGACTCTCCACTGGACATCACGAAGACAGGACCACAGCCTGGTCTGCATCTGCTGGAGCTGTGCCAGGCCCCCGGGAGCCCCTCAGGTCCTGGTGGTGGCAGAGAGGTATTAGCATGCGTGGCTAGGTGCCTGGTAAGGTTTGCCTGTTGGCTGAAGCCCTTGCCGCAGTCGGCGCAGCGGTACGGCCACTCCTGGGTGTGGGTGCGCCGGTGCCGACTCAGCGACTTGGCCCAGCAGAAGCTCTGGCCGCAGTCGGCGCAGCGGTACCATTGCTCCCCGGTGTGCGTGTGCTGATGCGCTGTCAGGTGGGAGAGCTGAGCGAAGTCCTTGCCGCAGTCGGCGCAGCGGTAGGGCCGCTCCCCGGTGTGCGTCCGCCGATGCTGGGTCAGGGCGGAGGCTCGGATGAAGTCCTTGCCGCAGTCGGCGCAGCGGAAGGGCCGCTCCCCGCTGTGCGTGCGCCGGTGCTGGGTCAGGGCCGAGGCGTTGCCGAACCTCTTGCCGCAGTTGAGGCAACTGTGGGATTGCTGCCCCATGGCCAGCCTCTGGTGCGGAGCCAGGTCTGGTCTCGGGCTGAGTCCATCCCCACGCTCGGCCCGAGGATTGACTCCATCCTGTCCATGTCTCCCCCCGTGGGCCGTGGGATCCTGCCTTCCCCCCTCACTCTCCCCACATTCAGGCTGTGTCCTCGTTCCTCCCCGGATCCCGTGCCCTGCTGGAGAGAGCAGAGGCAATCCTGGTGTTGGCTCGCGGTTAAGTTTGCAGGTTTGTTAAAGTGAGAATAATCTCATCGATAGCTCGATTTTCCCATTTATCTGTGACTTGTCTGTGACTCACTGCACAATAGTGACTCCTGTCCCATGGGGCTGGGCCCGAAGCCCTGCACCAGGTGGTGTAACCTGGCATCCAGGGCCAAAGTGCCCACTCACATTTGCCCCTCTGTCCCACCCAGGACAGATCAAACCTGAGCCCCGCAGGATAGGAGCTGTTGCTATGCGGTGAGGGCAGGGAACCAGGACAAGCCCTATAGCCAGGAGAGCTTCAGGGACTAACACTGTGGGGTGAGCACGGGGCGGGTTCACTCTCGAGTCTCCCCTCACCCGGCCAGGATTAGGGTCACGGTGCTGGGTGGAGGGTGCTGCTGTGAATGGTCAGTGCCCATTGGATACAAAATGCTGTGACAAATCTGCAGCCTGACTTATGGTGGTTCTACCCTTACTTGTTTGTGCAGCACCTAGCACCAGCTCCCGCATGAGCCACGCACCTCTTGGGTCTCATTTTATGCTTAAATTGTAGAGTGCCCAGGAAACGGGCAGCGACTGGCACAACGCGGCCCTGATCCAGGACAAGGGCCCGTACATGCTAATGCAGTACAAACAAGGTCTGGTTTTTCTTTTCAAACTGATTTTGTTTTTATTTTAATCAGAGGATTTTATGTTGTTGGCTCTTCACTTTCTCCCCGTTTTGTAGCATGAGGCCTGCTCCCCCGTTTTGGTACTGTTTTAACTATACCACTTTGAAACCAGTTTAGTTAAAGGGCTACAACCCTCTAATGTGGACACAGTTAGACCGGCATAAAGGTATGTAGAACAACATAGCTTATTCCTGTGGGGGAGTGAGTCCTTTTCAAGGAATTCCTTCTGAAGAAGTCATTCAGCCTCGACCTGATGTTTCATTCCTTGTGCAAAACTAAATTGGAAGTTTGTTTTTTCTTGCAGGTGTGGGGGAGGGGACACATTACTCAGGATTTATGGTGATGTAATCTGAAACCACTTTTGTATTATTTTACAAGCCAATCAATGGATATTGTTAAGTGGGAAGGTGTTCACGGCTCCTGCACAGCGGGCCTGTGATCTACAGACAAGCACAGACCTCATTTAGGCTGACGGGCGAGCTAAGCATTAGCACTGAAGCAATGTTAGTTTGAAGTGACAAAGGGTTTGTGCCATGGAGGGAGCAGGAAGAGAGGGGGATGAGAGAAAGATTGTCCCACTGAGCTCCCTCACGTAGATCCTAGACCTGGGGTCAACGCCACTGTGCCCTTCCCATATTGCTGGGGGTCCTGGTTAAATGGCAGGGGGAAATGGCTCAAAACTCTTGCCCTAGAGTAAGTCCTATCTGCAAGGAAGCCTAGAAGAGAGCTTTGTGGACTATGGACCAGCAGGCCTGTCTCACCCCCCTCACCCCCGGCTCTGTAGAGTCTGATCCCAACACACACAAATGAATGTTATCCTCACAGCCCCACGGCCCTCTCCACTACACAGAGGGTGAAACTGGTGCACAGAGAGTGCTGTAGTGAGGCGCTTTAGGAATTGAATCAAGAACTTATGAATCCACATTTTACTTTAATGATTCAATGGAGCGTGTGAACTAACCATCATGATTCTGTGTATTGTTTGTTGTGCTTTTGCAGATGTGGCCTTCAGGGAAACCCTTACACACCAGCAGAACACCTCTGTGTAAACACAGCTCCCCATGTCCTTCCCCCATGAGAGCTCTCGCTTTCCCTCAGCGCCCCTCAAATCCCCCCACAAACTGTCCCATACCACTATCCCACCCCTCATCCCATCTCATCCCCTCCCCATCTCCAATTCATGTCCCTTTCACTGCTTTGAGGCCCCATCCCTCTTAGGTCCCATCCCGGGTCATAGATATCAAGCCCATAGAAGCCCACTGTGCCCATCCAGCCCAGCCTCCTGCCTCACCCAGGCCACAGAATCTCCCCCAGGATTCCTGCCTCTGGCCCGGTAACTCCTAGCTGAGCTAGAGCGGAGCTTTGAGAGAGAGAGACACCCCATCTCCACTGACAGACTCCCAGGGATGGAGAATCCCTCCCGTCCCTAGGCGAGCTGTTCCAGTGGTGAATTCAAACACTGGCCCCTAATTCCCAGCCTCAATTGGTCTCCCTTCAGCTCCCAGCCAGTGGATCTTGCTCTGCCTTTGCCTTCTACATTAAGGAGCCCTCCACTAGCAGCTGGGGAAATCAGAAGGGATTGGATTATTATGACTCACCTGAGGAGGGGCTCTCAGGCCCCGAGTTTTCCCTGGAGCCCTCGGCATCCCAGATCCAGAGCTCTGCCTCCCCTACCTCGATCCGCTGGATTAAGTCTGGTATGGAACCTGAATAGCCTGTTTGAGGGGAAAGAATCAGTTTTATTACTAAGGTCTTGTCTACACTACACAGATTTGTTGACAAAACAGTGGAGGTGTACGTACTACAATGCAACATTTGGTGACAAAAACTGTTTTGGTGATCAAATAAAACCACCTCCATGAGAGGCATGGAGCTTTTTGAGGCAAAGTTTTAGCGACAAAGTATCAGTGTAGACACTGTGCTTGATTATGTCGCTATAAAGGGCCTCCAGGAGGTGCCCCACAATGCCCCTCCTGCCCGCTCTGGTCAGCAGTTTGAACTCCGCTGCCCTGCAGCCAGGTACACAGGCATCCACCCCTCCGTCTTAAAGCCCCGCAAAATTTTGAAATTCTACTTCCTGTTTTGTCGGCATGGAGAGCTGACATCGCATTTTCCCAGTTGATCACAGCAGCTCCACATGGCAAACGCTCTCCAGCTTGGACCCTGCGGAGCTGTTGGATCGGCTCAGTATATAGGGAGAGGAGGCTGTCCAGTCCCCGCTGTGCTCCAGTTGTAGGAAGTTCGATACCAACAGGCACATTTCTCATGGCTTGTGCGAAAAGGGCTATGATAGAGACATGCTGCAGTGCAGAGCGAAGATAAAAGCACTGAGGCAGGAGTACCAGAAGGCAAGGGATGCAAACTGTCACTCTGGTGCTGAACTAAAGACCTGCCACTTCTGTAAGGAGCTGGATGCCATCCTTGGCAGTGACCCCACCTCCACTGCCAAGAGCCCTGTGGACACTTCAGCAGGGCTGGAGTCAGTGGAAAGTGTACCTAACCCAGAGGATGAGATCACGGACGAGGAAGTGGAGATGGCAGTCTCCAGGTGGGGTGGTGAGTGAGGACCTCTTTTCTACTCTGGAGGTGTCCACCCAGTCCCACCAGTCCCTCTCTGGGGAGCAGGAAGCAGGAGAGGAGACCGCTGGTAAGTGACTTTCTTGAGTTGATGCTTCTCGTTTATATGATTTCCAGCTTTCCTTCGCTTTATGTAGTGTGAAAGTGGGTGAAGGGTTAGAAATCTACAAGACTTACTGTGTTTCTGTGCACTGCACATTCCCCTGTGCAGCTAAACAGTGTGCCAGAACAGTATGTTGATGCACACTGGGATTTCATGGGAACGTTCCAGAGATATCTCTAGGAAACTTTCCTGAAGGTAATTGCCAATCCTTTGCCAAAGGTTCCTTGGGAGAGCTGCTTTTGTTCCTTCCCCCATTGTAGGAAACCTTCCCGTGCCACTCGGCAATCCCTTGTGCAGGGACCAAAGTGGCACACAGGTGAGCAGCATAGGGAACAGGTCTGAACCCACAAGCACGCAGTAGATGCACCCTTGCATCCTTGCTTACACTCAGGAGTGAGATATCAGCTTCAATGATCCCCGCCGGTGAAAAAGGGTGGGAGAATTTACAACATTGTTCCTAGTCACCTGCACCGTGACCCTTGAATCACTACCATCGCTCTTTTGCCGAGCTGGAACACCCCTCCCACCTCCCCCCCACACACACACACACACTGAGCTGAACTCATCATGCTTAGGGGGTGTTTGTTCACAAAGATGTCTGCCTACCTAGGGTCAGTGAGAAACTGCTTGGGATGCTACAAGAGGTGTATTTTACTGTAATGATTCAATGGGGTGTGTGAACTAACAATCAATCATGATTCTGTGTATTGTGTCTTGTGCTTCTGCAGATGTGGCCTTCAGGGGAACCCTTACACACCAGCAGAGCGTCTCTCCCAGATAAGAAAGCTGTGACGGGTTTGGGCCCTTTGGGGTGTCACCCCAGGTGCTGGGATGCCAATGAATCAGCCTGTTCTGCCAGCCTGGGTGCCCTTTACCTGGCCTTGCTGGGTTAGGCTCACAAGCCTCTTCCAGCCAAGCACACAGGCAGGACCACACCCAACTGCACAGAGAGACACAGATCCACTCTGGAAAGATTCAGCCTTCAGGGCTTGCCCCAGCACTCTGGGGCCCACTCCCTTTAAGGGGTGCAAACTCAAAGGGTTTTATGAAATTTTCCCCCTCCCTCAATGTGGAGGGAGTTATGCACAACCTCTTGCCCCCACCCCCACTTAGAAATTACATAAACTGGGTTATATTATAAACAAGAAATAAGTTTATTAACTACAAAAGGTGAATTTTAAGTAAATGTAAGAGATGACAGACAGAACAAAGCAGGTTACTGACCAAATAAAGCAAAATACGCAAGCTAAGCTCAATATACTTAAGAAACAGGTTATAAAATGTAAATTCTCACCGTAAATGTTATTTTAGGCAGGTTGCAAAGTTTCTGTGGTTCAGAGTTCCAGTTCTATTCCTTTTCAGACTGTACCCCTGTCTCCCCGCTTGCCTTCCCTTCAGGTGGCTTTAGCAGTCTTCTTGGGCAGACAGACCATGGAGAGGAGTCTTGTTTGCCTTCCTCCCCACCCTTAAATAGGATTTACATAAGGCGGGAATCCTTTGTTTCCCAAACTTGCCCCCTCCCCCACCTTCCAGTGGAAAGTTACAAGTAGTCCCAGGTAATGTTTAGTATCAGGTGACAAGACCACCTGACTCTGTAGTATCACAACATCCATGA